TTCGTGAATCGCGAGAACCAGGACGCAGAGCAATGCGCGTCCCTTGTCACTGCGACCGCTGCAGCTGGGGATAACGCCCTTCCAACAACTCTGCGTTCATTCGCGGGACTTACGAGACTGGGCTCCAGGACTGCAGGGAGGACGCAGACCGCTCAAAATTGGTCCTCAGACCGCTCTCAATTCACACAGTATGGGAGTGACGACCGCGGGACAGGCATGCACCTGTTGCGCGTCGAACGGCGACATTAACGTAACTAGATACACAGTGTACTCAGAGACGACGACCACGACGACCACCCTGCAAAGAACATGAGCATCGTAATAGAACAAGGTAAAATGTCCGCACCTTGCGCCTGGTGCAATCAGTGGGGACGGGGGTGACATCCTCGATACGGCCAATGGACATTCCCGCACGGGCAAGGGCGCGGAGGGCGCTCTGTCCGCCGGGGCCGGGGGTCTTGGTGCCCGTGCCGCCGGTTGCGCGGATCTTGACGTGGAGGGCGGTGATGCCGACCTCCTTGCAGCGGGCGGCGACGTCCTGGGCGGCGAGCATGGCGGCGTAGGGCGAGGACTCGTCGCGGTCGGCCTTGACCTTCATGCCGCCCGTGACGCGCGAGATGGTCTCCTTGCCCGACAGGTCGGTGATGTGCACGAACGTGTCGTTGAACGAGGCGAAGATGTGTGCGACGCCGAAGACGCGCTCGCCCTCGGCGACTTGCGGGCCCAGGGACACCGTGTTTTCCTCCTTGGGCGCTTTGGTTTTCTTGGGGGGCTGCGACATCCACGAGTCAGTTCAGCGATCCATGCATTACACGGCCGTTGGGAGCAGGAATTTGGAGCAGGGGGACGGGGGGACGGCTGGGGAGGCGACGACACGTACCATGGTGGCGAGGTGAAGAGTTTTGCTTGAGGAGGACGGGAAAACAACTTTTTGGTCGAGACGAAGTTTTGCACAGCCACGCGGGGATTTCCGGTTGGCATGACAGCTTGCCTTCCACCAACCACAGGACGCCCTTAAAATTATTGTATCTATCCGCGCTAACGCGTCGCAGCGCACTAACCCGACGCGCTCGGTATTCCACGTCGTCGCTTTCTCCAAAGTCTCCAAGTCTATGTGTCGCTGACGCTCGGCCGTTATTCTCTTCCTTCATCTCCTGTCTTCTCGGCCAGCACCCTCTACAACGGGCACTGGGGGTGCTCATCTTGACTCGACGCAAGGATATACGACCACGGGACTGTACCAATCCACCTCTATCTGCGACTGAAGCACATCTGACGCTGTGTCCGCGAGCTCGCGTCGCACTCACGCTGACGGGATGCACTCCTCGGAACGCGTCCAGTCACGCGCTCCAAGCCAACAGCTATATCATCGCGGTCCTGCGTCGCGCTATGCGGCGGTTGTCGGTTTCTGCATCTCTGCGGAGCTCGGGATCGGGGAGCGTGCTGCAGAGGGATTATTAGCATGGGGTGTTTTGATGTGGGTGCGTCGCGTACAAGGTGGTCTCATAATTTCCGCTCCCGTCCATGGGCCTGCACATCTGTCACTAAGGCGACATCGGCGGCGTATGTATTGCACGTACCTGTTTGTGACCGGGCACTCTGGATCGGTGGTGTTGCGCGGGATGCAAACTGGGAAGCCCTAGAACGGTGTTGGATATCATATGAATCAGAATCCGCCGCTTACGGTCGTAGCGGTCACCGAGGGGTCCATCGCGTCCACCGTCCACAGAGGGTTCTCCGTATAGTGAGTGTGCCACCAGCCAAGGGGCCTCCCGTTGCATTTACCGTCATACTGGGAAGCTGTCAGTGCGGCACATCGCGCAGGAGCAGCGGACACCTACGCATTGATAGTACCATTGTACGTCCGCGCTTGGGCGTAGACAACGCTGGAAAGTGCGACCAGTGCGAGTGCGCGGTGGAGGAGAGCCCCAAGGTTAGAAAACATGGCTGCTTGGATAACCTGAGATACGGGGTCCTTTTATACCCTCCAGGCACTTGATATAAACCGGTCGAAATATCGGCGAAAATGCTTGATGAAACCAAGGCCATCCGTCTCCGACAGAAAGTCCAAGCAGGGGAGCCTCCATTGCGAACATAGCGAGCATATGGATGGTGTGAGAAAAGGATTGCCAAGAGGCGCAAAAAGGGATAGGAACCGATGAGCTATAATATTGCGCAGAGTGCCTGCCAATATTAATGCTGCCGGCCAACAGGTTTCAAATTGAAATCAACTTTCAAGTTAACCCAGTTCGAGCTCGGACCGAGTAATATGTGTCCCATCGAAGCTGAAGGAACGCCCAGATAAGAGAGAAGAGTTAGATCAGTCGGTACGAACAGTGTCTATTAGTTCAGTCACCCCTGACTGGTCGTCAGTCGAGAGGAGGGTTGTCCGGCTTGCGACGTTGCGGTTCAAGTGGTTTGTTGAAGAAGATCCTCCTCCCGGCCATCATCCAGGGGGAATGATCTTTTCTGTCACTCAGCTGAAGCACAAGATGACAGGGAAGTGGCGAGAAGCCCTCGGGCGATCAATTCCGTGGCCTATTCGGCTCCCCGACTGGCGAGCCGCGGAAGGACCTGGGGCATCGCTCTAGGACGTTTGTACTTCTGTAAGTATATCGCGCGCAAAGCTGACATAGGGTTGCACATTGCCAGAATCAGTCAGGGAGAAAAATCCCGTGGAATGTCTTGTATTTAGGCTTGGAGCTATAAATTATTTGCGGGTGATCCTGTCAACCCACGAAGTACTTCGAGGGTACCTGAACTGAGCTCAAGAACATGAAGCAGGTGCACAACGTTGACGATCCACATGGACAACAGATTGCACCTGGGAATTATCTGACACGAGTCAAATTTCCAACGCCAGAACAGTCAAAGCCAACTCAAAGCAACCATTTTTTCCCGAGGTACAAACTGAACAACATCCGTCCTATCAGGATACACTATTCCGCTTCGAATAACACCAGTCCCGCGCCGATTAACAGGTCGACAGGAATGCGAGGCATGAGTTGCCGGGCGTGACCAACGACCCAGTAAGCTAGCACGGCGCAAAAAGAAGCAACAACAACATCAGCTCGGCACCAACGAGGAATGAGGCAGGACAGCTCACGGTATAGCAGCAGGTGGTCCCGTCGCTGTATCTGTTTGCATGTGAGTTTCAAGTTTAATTCGTGTAACGGAGGTGAAGTACGAACCCGCAACAGAGCTCTGTGCTCGTGAGCACGCCGTCGATGAGGGTCCCTCTCGGGCTGCGGTTGTCGATGCTGGGGCAGCAGAGTGTGACTTCCGGGGCGGGCGAGGGCGCGGGGGTGGCCACCGTGAGGGTTACTACGATGGCGAGGAGGGGAAGGACGAAGCGCATGTTGGTGGTGGGTAGCAGTGTGGATGTGTGCTGGCGTGCAGTGGGGTGGAGCTGTATTTTATACGCGTGGGCCTGCGAGCCAGAATCCGGATCCGTTGAGGTTGATTTGTTCTTAGAAAAAGACAAGGGCAAGGTACGAACTTGTCAAGATGGACAATCGCGTGCGTACCCTAGCGGATGCGAGAAGACATAGTTTAATTGAGTTTCTCTAGGGACGGCTTGAGCGTCTGTCAATGTATTCAACATAAAAGGGCGAGGTACGAACTTGTCAAGATGGAAGCCATCCTCAGGCTTCATGGAACTTGGAGGTTTCTGAAGAAGTGTGTGAATTGAGACCGCGAGTACATCCTGAAGCGTGTCAGGAGCTTGATTTCCCGGCCAGCAAGCGCTGAAATGCTGTGACCAACTCCCTAGCCTGAGCCCGACTCTATTACGATGCTAAGGAGGCGCCTCAGATCCATGGTTTGTGCCCATTGATTGCAGATAACTAGAAGCACAGAAATGTGATACAGGCTCCGTTATTCACCTTAATTCTTGTTGCGCTGATCTTCTCCTGCAAGTATATGAGGCGCATTAGGTATTTCGAGTTCGACGTCCTCTCGCCACCCAGTGAAGGGAGATTTACCACAATCCAGGCATCTTCTAGGCTCGCAGCGAGATCAAAGCGGCGCGGTGTCGATCAAGAACGACAAACTGTGTCCGAAAGTTATTTCCAAGCTTATTTACACAGCGAGCACCAGCACACGCGCCGAGTTTTAGATGGCACCGGACCATAGCGCATGCAGAATCGTAACGATGACGGTCGGATGACCTGAGAAAAGCAACCGCCGCTGGGAATCGGCATCGGTGTTGGGCGTGGCGAGTGAGTCTGTGCCTCAAATGAGCAGCTTCCGCATTCGAGAATTGCCAGGCACGACAACATCAGTGGGTAGCAATAGAGGCTGCGAGCGGCGGCCGATAGCACAGTAAGATGCCGAAGGGTGCTGATCAAATCCGTGCTTCTTCGCGGTCTCCCGTCTTCTTGAGCCTTGAACACCAAAACAACACCGATCGCTTTCTAGCTGACCGCGGATATCTAGAATTCGGTGGCAATGTGGCAGGAGCATTTTATGTGAGTCGATCCGGTGCGGGTAGGTCCTGTCTCTACAGAGATGTGAACTGCACTAGGTCAAGAGCCAATTCCAAGTGCACGTATCAGATGCCCTGAAGAGACGCACTCTTTAAGCTTGCCGTGACGGCTTGAACCCGTGTAAGGCCAGGGAGCTTGGAACAAGCGCGGCGAGCTTGCGCAACTTGAACGTCGGCGGCAAGTGAGACGTGGCCGTCCATGAGCGAGATACACGCCGCGACGCGCGGAGTACGGAGACAACATGCCAGTGGGAGTACGCGATCACGTGCTTTTTTGTTTTGGTATCTGTATTTCTAAATTCTATACCGCAACAACAAGTACACGAACTACTAAGGGAGTATGGGGATAAATAAGGGGAAAGAGTATGTATATACGTGCTGCACCCATGAGAGAGAAAAAACGAAAAATGACGAGGAACGTAGTACGTTATTCAACTTAGTAGGAACTTGGCTGAAAACGAAAAAGAAGAACGGACCATGAAGGATGCGCAGAAAGGACACTTATGGCGTGCAATGCATGCGGGGGGAATCGAACCCCCGGCGGGTCGAGGTACAGTTACAGTTACAACTTCTCGGAATTTCAATGGCAACGACCCAGGTTACCACTACCCCACGCATGCGATGAAGATCAATCAGTAGATAAGAGTGTGTACTAGAGCAGCATTGGCATTGGAGTGTGTGTTCAAAGGAGAAGATTCTTCCTCCGTGAGTGCAACTAGCGGTGAATTTTTTGAATGAAGACACGGGGTCGTCTCTTTTCTTCTACCACCTTTACGAGTGAAAGTGCTCCTCCGCCAAGAGTGGTACTTTTTTTTCCAAGGTGGTGAATTTTTCGAGAAATAAAACTGATAATTATGACACAGTATTACCCCCATATGATATTTTTATACTCCTGGTAGGCAACGGGTACTTAGCGTCACTGTCCGATCAGAACAACGGATGCGGATTCGTCGCATTCACTGGGCGCTCCTGTATCACATCCCAGTGTTCCTGCACACACGTCCCATTAAACCTAAACAAGTCCAAAATCGCTGTCGGCTCCTCCAGAAGCCTATCCACCCGATAATGCAGCCAGCCATACGGCGCCTCGAACACCCGATGCAGAATCTGCACGGTTACAGATGTGTTTGAAAAGATAGGGTAGAGAAAGTCGAACGACGAAGTGATTCCGTCCAGCTCGAAGGGGTTGTGTTGGATGTAGTCTGCGGCGATGTGGCTGAATGCGCGGGGGATGTCTCTGTCGATGGGGATGGGAGAGGTTAGGACAAAGTGTTGATCGGGGTGGCAAGCTAGTGCACCTTTTGACATAGAACTCCTCGACGAAGGTGTTGAAAATCTGCTTCTGCTCCACAGCAGTGGCTGGGTGAACTACGCATGGAACTGGCGTCGGGATAGATTGCCCAAAGACCGACCCCGGGCCCAAGAGGGGAAGAATAAGAGTCAAGCCTTTGAAAAATGTAGTCGAGGCACGCATATGCATTGCGGGGGAAAGTGAGCGCCGGCTACTATGGCAAAGGGCTGAATGAACGTCGCTTTTTATCGAAACTAAACGATTCCGCTTATCGAGCCGAAATGTTTAGACGTTTCAGCCCGGCAGAAATGTACACGGCTACACGGCTGCACGGTTCAGTTGAAAGATTCTTAAGATTGATGGGTCAGTCTGATATTTAAGGAAATTCCCAGGAGATTTCACCCCCGCGAGAGACAAGGGGATTCGGTAACTCACGGTCTTGAAACATTACCAGGATAGATCCATGGATTTCTTAGGAATGATACTCACGTGTTGCTCACGTGGATTTTGCCGGTAGCTTCAAAGGCAAGGGGGTCCAAAGATAAGAAAATATGATATCACCTACAATTTTTTTGTAAACGGCCTTTCGGGCTTCCCTACCGTGGGAATTCGCTTATATAAGCTTCAAATTTGCCGCTAGATTTTTTTTGAGCTCTGAGGGACGTTCAGATGGTATGTCAGAGTCCATCCCTGTGTTTAAACCACAAAATTGGTGCAAGTTGAAGGAAAAGACTTGGGCGCTCATTTCGGGATCACATGATGACTTGCCTGATTGGGAGGCGGTCCAAAGGCCGATGTTGGCCATATTTACAGTCAACCAAGCTATTGAGACAGTAATATGCCGCCAGAACTCCATGCAGTATGCTTGGGAAGTTGTAAGAAGGCTCTAGGCCCTATATTAGGGCAAAATAAAAGTACATACAATTTTCTTTCCTGGCGGCCGGGGCCCAACCAACCTACCCAACCCCATATGGGCAATGCTTATCCTTGGACTCCCTTGTTCAAAGGTACCCTCTCCAATCAAAACCCGCAAGAGGAAGTTGAGGACGATAACATTAAGGCAGCTGGCCCTGACACCGGGTTACGCAGTCACCACAGACGCTGGAATACATTCTGGTGGACCTCGCAAAATCACCGAGTGGCAGTGGGCTGACTCCATTCAGCGTATATGTTGCTTTGTCTCGCAGCCGGGGACGAGGGGACGATCAGGCTGCCATGCAACCTCGAAACTAACTGTTTACAACACATCTTTCCGCCGACTGGGCCCGCAAGGCAAAGGACGACCACACGGACCAAGCATGGACGTGTTGACTAGACAGATAATTCTAATGAGAAACCCCTGCCATCAGAGAAATCTTCTGGCAAAAGTCTAACGGGAAACCCTGCTAAAACGTCCAGGCAATGGACTGCAACAGCCATCGTTTCAAGCATTTTCCGCGTCCTCCTGGCGAATCTCTTGTCGAGTGCGGGAACCTGGACACCACACTCATCTCGGCTCGGCCCTTTTCAGAGCTTGGCAGCTCGGGACATGCCCTGCTCATTTTGACGTGCATTTGGTTTGCGCAACATTGAAGGCCAAGCGAGCGCTAGGGTGCGTGGACTGCGGGTGATTAATCAAACTGGAAGCGTACCGTAAGTGTTTAACTTGAGGAACGCGACACTAAGAGAGAAAGGAACCAGAAGAATAGGACCAGCGTATGGATTTGAGAGTGAGGTCGTAGAGGTACAGAAGTAAGCAGAGATAAGTACGTAAGCAGGTTATGTGCGTGTAAGTAAGCCGGCAGGTTTACACCCCTCCCCTCCGTAAAAAATTGCCCATGCAACAAGAGAAGAAAAATGTACCGTAATATACCTACAAATGCTCCACGGGTGCGTCAAAACCCCGTGGGGAAAGCTACCGGGGCAAGGACAAATAGAAGGTGAACAGGACAAAAAAATCCAGGGCGTCTTCAATCCGTCCGAGCTTCCCATGCATCGAGAGCGGCTGCGTTCGCGAGCAGGCGACCGGGGAGCCATTTGTCGCTGTCATGTCCGTAGCCGGCGAAGCGAACCAGGTATTGCTTTCCCCGGCCGCGAGGACGTTCGTCGATTATTGAGTCGATTAGCCATTCGTCGTGGCCATCTTCACCCATGATCGGCCCGGGCTGGGCAAACTTGCGCGAGGGGAACAGCTCGTCGTCGTTCTCGACGTAGTGTTCGAGTTCGGAAGCATGAAAAACCGGGAAAACGTTAGGTTGGTTCGGCAAGTCAAGGGTATACGTCGAGCACTCAGCGTGTTTCCTGATGATCTTGTAAGGACCATCAAAACACGCCATGTACTTCGCGACCCTGTTGTCGCCTTTCTTCATATACGCGGAACGTCGGTGTGCCGTCGAGAGTTTAACACGGTCGCCAATCTCCGCGTTGAAATCGTCGCGGCGCGATTTGTTGGACTGATCGGCTTGGGAGATCTTCGCCGTAAGCAGGTTCTCTTGCGCTTCGATAACGTCCTGATGCAGGCGTGCAATGATATCTGCGGCGATCTTCTCCTCGGATGGGCTGTCGGTCCTTGGAACGTTCAGCAGCGGAGGAATTATGCGGGGTGAGCGTCCCGTCTTGAGCTGGAAACCGGAGTAGCCCGTCGACGCGTTGACAGTGTTCATCATGTCGAATCGGACGCGCGGGAGGGCTCGCACCCAGCCACATTGGTTCCGGGCGACATGGTATTGTATCGCTTGGTTGACAGTTTTGTTTGTTCGCTCGCTAGAGTCGTCTGTTTCCGGATGGTATGAAGTCGACATCTTCAATTTTACGCCTGTCAATTTGTGCAGTGCTTTCCAAAAATCGGAGATGAAAAGCTTATCACGGTCTGACACGATGTCGAGAGGCAGACCGTTGTTGCAGTACCAGACATTGAAAAATATCAAGGCGAAGTCGGCAGCCGTGATGTTCGTTCTCGTGGGGACGATCTTAATATCTGAGCCAAGCCGGTCGGTCATGGTGACTATACAATTGTACCCTTGGTCGGCCGGCAGTGGTCCAATGAAGTCTATAGCGACAGAGTCGCCTCGTTCCTCGGGTATCAGTAGGGGATGAAGCGGCCCGGCCTTTTTGGTTGTACGGGATTTATTGCGTTGGCATTCCAGGCAGCCCGGAATGTAAGACTCTTCCAAGTCGCGGCGCATATTGGGCCAGTAATACACGTCTCGCAGGGAGCTGTACGTCTTGTCAAAACCAAAGTGTCCAAGATTATCATGCGCGAGCTGAAACAGAAGCTCGCGTAGATTATGGACGCGTGGAATTATGAGCCTGTCGCCGACATACCAGAGGTTCTCAGGTTGGCAGAACTGCAGGCCTGGCATGCCGCGGCTCGCGGAGTCGAGCTTTCGGCACCAGCTGTCTTTGGCGTACCCATCGCGGATGCTTTCAAGGAGCTTTGCATCCGTTGTGATCTTCAACACGGAAGCAATAGGAAGCATAGATCCCGGTTCCGGGGATCTAATCCTGGTGCTGGCGATGCACCGGGTCGCGTAAAGTGCGGAGTCAGCCGCCGCGGCAATTATTGCCGCCACCGGTGCTGTAATCCCATCTTCGTCTTCGTTCCACGCGTACGGTTCAGAAGCCGCCTTTTCCGCGTCGGAACTTTCCTCGAATTCTGTGCGGGAGAGGGCGTCGGCAACCATATTGTCTTCGCCTTTCACATAAATTATTTTGCATTCGTACTGACTCATGAACTCCATCCAGCGTGCCTGGCGCCTGGATAAGTCCCTTTGCTTTTCGAAATTTTCCGGGGTTCGGTGGTCTGTGTAGACCCAGAATTCGGAGCCGATTAAGTCTATGCGCCACCGCCTGAGGGCACGAATAATAGCGAGCATTTCCTTCTCGTGCACAGGGTAGTTCAGCTCTGCGCCCTTGAAGGACATCGATTCAAACACAACGGGTTGGGCTGTCTCCCAGGTCAGGCCATAAGAGAGGACGGCGCCGGATCGTAATTCACTGGCATCCGCCGTAACATATATCTGGTTATCACCACGGTTTTCGTGGTCTATGGTTGTCAGACATTCCCTGCTGATCACCTTCTGCTTGATCAGGTTAAACACTGATTGATGCTCAGACGTCCACTCCGGGAAAGATTTATCACATTCTTTCAAGGTAAGTTTCTCCAGTACCGCCGCTGGGCCGGCTAGTGCAGGTAAGAATCTCCCAATGTAGCGTACGAGGCCTAAGAAGGCTCGGACGTTCGTTGCAGATTTCGGCTGAGGCCAATTCATAATGCGTTCCACTTTGCGAATGTCCGCTTCGACGCCCTGAATGGAAATGCGGTGTCCCAAGAAGTCAACTTCATACTGG